AAGAAGGAAATAAATGAAACATGGCCACAACCATTGAACTGTCGAAACCGAAACATGACAGAAAAGTAGCACAAACCTTGTGTTTTTGGGGTTAGAGCCAATTAACCAGGAGCAGCATTTGAAATATTTTTGCAGGAATAAGGTCCATGTAATAAAGTTTACTTGTTCAAGTTGATATTAACTGACAGGCTTCTAGCAGCACTAACATCTCTAACATGATTCTATACAAGCTAATATTTGCCTGGATGTTGGTTGACGAAGATTGTTAAAACATGGATTGTGTGTCTTCCAAATAAACACTTTTAAAAAAATGTCACACACAGATGCCAGGAGGCATGACGTGGTTATTGGTATCAAAGTAACGTTTTCAACAGTATGTGGTTTTAAAAAAATTCCCATTATGTTATTTCTGCAGTTTAAAGTGTTTTTTTTGTTTTATTTTACTGCAATATTGCTTGCTCGCTCACAAGAAAGAGAAATGTGTCTGTAGTTGGATTCGTTGAAAGCTGCACGCTGACTTCCAGAGCAAGACTATTCAACCACTTAACTTTAATATGTTGGACTCCCAGTGTAAAGAGCAGCATGTCAAAAACATATATCCTGCACAATTAGCACACCTATAATTAAAAACATACATGGTGGAGAGAGCATTGTTTCAACTGTAGTTATGTGCAGGAGTTGCAATGATTTTTGCGTTCTGTTTTAAATAAAAAACAAATTATTTGTTTAAAATGATTGCGTTAACAGCACAATACGATGACATTGTGGTGTTTTCACTCTTTTATTGGCCCATGCCTGGTTGCCAAACCATATTTTCCCCTTTTCTTTTATTGTTCCAGAGGAATCTACTCTGCTGTATGTAGCACCAGGAAAATGAACGCATCACCAGATTAGTCATGAATTAGAAAAAAAAAAAAAAAACAGAAAATTGCACTTCCTGCGAAAATGTTATACACTGACTATTTTTAGAGAAAATTGCAGATGCATTTGAATTCAATGGCAGAAGACTTACGGAAATGTTAAGAAATAAGAAGAAGCAGAAGGATAAAGCGAAAGGATATGAAATAGAAAAATAGAAAAACACTATTTACCAAGCTAAACGGTAAGGTCACAACAGGACCTTACCGTTGGAGGCAGGGATGGACGAAGGATTGGAATGAGATTAGGGGATGAGGGCTGGAATAAAAGTTGTAATTAGGGTTGGAGCTAGAAAATGTCAACACACGATGACATAGCCGAGACGTCTTGCATGAGCAGAATATGGTAAAAGTTGAATTGTTGAAATCACACAAAGTATGCAGAAGCAGTTAAGTGGCGAAAAGTGAACGGAGAAAAAAATAGTGGAGGAACTCAAGAGTGTGAACACTAATAAGCTAGTTTGGTTATTACTTCCCGAGTAATTGGCCAATATATTCTCACACCAGCTTTAAACCTCTGTTACACCCACACCAATTTATGAAAGAATTATAAAGTCTTCTTATTCTGGCAAAGGTAAGTTTTTCATTATAGAGTCAAATTCAAAGGTAGACGATGTATAAACTACAATTTTGAAAGAATGTCATCTCCTTAAATACTGTCATCCCAGGTGAAAATAGCTGGTTGTCCTCACCTGATGACTGCAACCTACCACTCTTTTCTGCTAAAAATGGAAAATTGGACGTTTTTTTTTACTCCATTACTCCATTACCATCCTCCTCAATGTGAGCGGTTGCAAGATTTATGATCTCAGTTCAGGTTTTATTGAACCGTACAATTATTGCTGTGAAATGCAATAATGAGTTTAGGCAAAGCAACTATTTTCTTGGAGCCATTTCCTATTTACATGTGGTGATCAACACACATCTCCTTACTTGAACAGCATGTTCTCTTGTGTTTCCCAATTCGAAAAGTAGAAAAAAATGGGCGCATTTTAGTTTTTATATTGAAAGAAAGAAAAACAATTTACAGGTGAAAGAGCTGTTTGGAATTGTGAATTGTTCATTACACTACAATGCAAATCAAAAAGTCAAATTAAAGGGTTGATTTTTCTAAAATTTTCAGTGTGATAGAATAATTCTGAAATAACACACTGACACGTTTTAAAGCTTTTATGCATCTTTACTATGGGTACCACTAAATCTGAAGGGTCCCACAGTAGCTGCTGGAGGGCCGACGGTGTAAATGTTTTTACAAGTCATTTCATTTCCCTTTTGAGTTTAATTTGAAGTGATTAAAATAAACTTCATAGATCAAACAAAGTCCCAGCAGGAGAGGTTCCCATGATTTATATATAGATGGATAAATGGATCTATGGAGAGATGTAGTTTATCCATGAGCATCTTGTCTGTACAAGAGATACTAAAAAAAAAATATATATATATATATATGCCAAGTTCACCTGAGGTCACCCAAAGTCCTACATGCAAATACAAGAGATGATTAAATGCTTTGGGTGCACCCATATTATTACCTCCATTGCCTTCTTCATCATTTTGGCATCAAACTCTGCTGGGGTCAGCATGAGCCCAATAATCAGCCGCTCCAAGTTCTTTGACAGCTCCGACTTCAGGTCCTTCATCAAGTCCTAGAAGAGGATCGAACACAATGAATACAAACTCGGAATATTTTACAACTAATAAGCTTTACACCCCAGGAGGGGTTGTATATCTTTTATATCTATCTATTGTATCCTTTCTAGACTGTTTTTGGTTTATTTTTTTTTTAAACATGTGTTTCTCTCACCCTTCCCAGCAGGGATTTGAAGGCCTGTCTGATTTCCTGCCTCTGAGCGTTGCTTCTTTGTGCAACGATGTCAATGATCGCGTCCTCATCCGTTCCTGTTTTTAGGCAAGAGGAAAAAACATTTGCTTTACACAAAATACAAAGAAAACTTCAAAACTCACATTATTGTGCACGTGGACCACGTGGAAATCTACCTAATCACAATAAGAACATCTTTGGTGATTTTTTTGAACCAAAAAAACCTTCATATTTTCAAAACATTTGCATGAACAAGTTTTTTTTGTTGTTGTTTTGGGGGGTTTTGTGGCTTCCCTGGTAAAGTTTTCTTAAATTGCCATCAGAAAGATGCATTTCAACACTTCAGACTGACTTTTTCACCAGTCATCAGAAGTGGCAGAGGACATTTAAAATGGTTAATTTCTTGCGGCACTTCCCATGCTTTACATTTGGTTTTTATTTATTTTTTTTAAAGTTCAAAGTTTTATTCACCAACTTAAATTAAAATAGCAACAAAAACCTTGAAGCTAAGTGTTAGTGGCTAAGGGTCATTTAATCACTTACTTACAGTGTGTATAATTTTGACCCTGTGTGAAATAGAGACATTTCAATTCCAACCTGCGCTCCCATTTATTTATTTACTTTTAAAGGCTGATGTTTTGTTGTATCAATATTCGACTCTGGAAAAAGAATGATACAAGTGAGCCTTGAAGCGACATGGCTGATGAGTGTACGTAAGCTTCGGAGCAGAAATGAAAGATGCATACCAAAACCCTTCATAGCTTTCCTCAAAGCTTGTGCATCGGCTGCAGGGTCGAAATCAGGCGCAGGGCGGACTGTAGGCCTCATCTGAGCAAGTGGAAATGGCAAAATTAGAAGAACGATAATCAACAGAGAGAAGAAGATAATCAGACTGGGACAGATCTGATGCACACACCAGTGGTTGTGATTGGTATTCACATGCTTAGAGCAAAATTGAAAAAAGAAAAAAAGAGAAAGAGGTCAGCAGAACATGCAAAAGGGAAAATTTTCACGTTATAGTTTGCTGTGCAGAGATTATTTAACTGGTTGTGGTGAAGTCTGAGCCATATGATAACCAACCCCTGACATTTGAGGGGGGGGCCGGTGACCTCATGAAGTCAAAATTCACAGCAACGCCAACAACGAAAATGTTGGTGGACTCGAGAAACAGCTGGGAGTCGCGAAGCGTTAGTGAGACAGCCTTTTGTTTATGCCGAGACCTTCCTGACGTTCGTCCTCTGTGCTGCGTTGATCTGCACATGGAGGGTCTGGAGAGCGGATTACAAACAAGAACTAGCTGTGTGTCGGGGGCGGGAACAGCATTCTCATCATATCCAAAGTCAAACAAAGCCATCCCTGTGCTCACATGGCCACAGCACGAGCTCAGCTAGAAGCAGATTACTGAGGAGCCAGCAGGTATTTGAGATTCCAGGTTAACATGCAACGACACATCTAAAGAGCAGAAGGGATCCAAACCTGTACTTTTGTCATGGCACTTAATTCCCACATCTTGTAGGCTATCTGAGCAGCTTCGGGGAAGAACTCTCCAGCTAAGCTGTAACAATCAGTTTGACACAACATTGTACACTCAGCAAAGTCAAAACCTCCTGCTTCGCTGCACTTTTTGGAAGATTCGGATATCGTCAAATAAAGTCACTCCTACACACAACGCATTAGCTTCACTAACAAGATTTTTACTTGTGCCTGCAGCGTTAATATGAGGACATGTTGCACCCATTTTGTACAGCTGTTTCAGTTTTATGCACTCTGGGGGAAAAAAAAAAATCAGTTTGTACTCTAGCACCCTCTACTGGTTATTTTTGGTGTCTGCAGCGAGGACAAAACTCACTCATCATCCCCTCCACACAGGTTAAGCAGAGTCTTCTTGTAATCGCCTGACGTGTCGTCCTGATTCACACACATAAGAGAAAAGCTAACGTTTCAGATAAACTACATTCCACAAACAATGCATTTGAAATGTTTTACTTCCTGTAATTTCCTGACCTTTATCATGTTGTAAAGCGACTTCTCGTATCTGAGACGGAAACACTCCCGGATGTCCAGCATGTCAATTTCAGAGCGAGAAATCATGATGCGGATGAGAGTATTATCAGCTGTGCCGAGGCCCTAAAAGAGAAAGAAAAAGGAATATTTGTGGGAGAAGGTAATGTTTAAAATAAAATATTAAACATGTTTCTAATTTAAATGCGCTTAAATTCGAAAAACATTTAAAAACTGTAGCTATACCTGCATAGGCAAACGAAATGGCTGCATGCTCATACCTTCATTGATTTGTACAGACACTTGGCAAAGAACATGGGAACGCTTCTTATACACTGGACTGTGAAAAAAAAACACAAGAATCAGGGGCTGGGTTACATAAACAACGCCGTAGCTTCATCTGTTACAGTAACTCTGAAGTGTGCTTCTTACCAACAGCCAGCATGAGCCTTTCAAAGTCTCCAGACAGCTCGTTCTTAATGCTGTCCTCGATGGACATCTCGGCAATCTTCTCATATTCATCAAAAACTGAACAGAGAAAAAAAAAAAACACAAGACAACATTTTAATGTGAGGTAGTAGATCATTTTAAACTTAATATTTAGTTTCTTTGTTTTGTTGTTGTTTTTTTGCTTCTGATGGGATTTTAGTGATTTCTTTGAAACATTCTGAGGAATGATGATGCAGCAAACAACTTTTATTCAACATACTGTAGCTTCAGTTTGAATTCCTCGGGATTTTCTCTCATTCTTGGTTACACCTGTGCACATTTTCTCAAATATGTACATATACTATCCAGTAAAATTTAAATAAATGTTGTGGTGGATAAATTATTATAAGGTAGTACCTGTTGGTTGTATTGCTATGTCTTTGTTCTAAATGCTTGTGAACTCTCACCAAATGAAGCTATTTGGGTTACATGTACAAGGTTGGGAGTCGTTTTCCTGCAGCTGCATGAGAACCAGACCGTCTCTCCCCTTGTTTTGGATCTTTGGTATAAAATTCATGTGTTGTCTCTCCCTGGGGGAGCTTTTCACTCAGAACTGCTTCATTACTTATTGTCTTACAAGTTCTCTGTATTGTGCATCTGAATAAACCCGATGGAGTAATTTCACCTGACATATTTAAATTGGTTAAACTGGTATGGACCAAGATTTGAAGCATGATCCTTCATTTTTCTTTTGGGTTGAGACCAGCTGTAATGTTAAGAAACAGAAAACCAGTTTTGATGTAGGTTTGGGACCACTGTCATGTTGGAAACACTCAACTACATCAAACTTTTAAATATCTAGCTGCTGAGTTTAAGTGAAGTTGAAAAAAGCAGGAAGTCCCAGTTTTATATTCAGTCCAATACAAACAGAATTTCCCCACAGCATGACGATACTACAACCTTATCTGACACTTTGCAAAATCATTTCAACTTATCCAAATTAATTTGTCCTTTTGGCCACAGAGTTCAATCTCTGCATCGTCAGACCATAAATCAAAGGAATATGACATTACCGAACGAGCAGAACTTCCACTCATTTACAGAGATCTTGCTAATAATTCATATTTAACAGTTGTTTGCTTTTAACGCAGCTTTCTTAAAAGTTACCGTATTTTTCGTACTATAAGCCGCTACTTTTGTCCCACGATTTGAACCATGCGGCTTATAACCCGGTGCGGCTTTTCTGTGGATTTTTCTTCAACCACCAGGGGGCTCTGTAGCAGCAAGTGAATCATTGGAAGTCAAAATTGGAAATCAAAGAAGAAAGCGCTAATTTTCATTTAGAACAAGCACATACTAGCAGCAGGCACGATGGAGAAATGTTTTCAAACTCATACCCCCTCATCATGGAACCAACACATAGAAGTTCATATCGATCTGGCAGTACAGGAGGGAAACGGAGTCGCTGCACGTAAGCTCGGCATGAACGAATCCATGGTTCGGCGTTGGAGAGCAGGGCTGCGTCCTTAATAAATCCAGCAGTGTCCTTGTGGAAAACCGAGAGCGGCGGATATACCAGCGGCTTATATATGTATGTTTCCAATTTAAAAAAAAAAAAAAAAAAGGGGCGCTCTATAGTCCGGAAAATACGGAAAATACTTCTCTCTCATCTGTCCCACACATGCATTCGTTTAGGTTTTTAGAAACATCCAGCAGGACCTGTGAATAAGTTTCCAGGTTCTACACCAAACCCCTGAGGCTTTTACTGCCACAGAGGCTTGAGGTCACACTGGGAATGTACTGGATGCCTCACCGCCATGCTAATCTTCACATGAACTGGACTCACCCATGCGAAGGTGGGTCACACTGCGGTTTCCTAGGATCATGATGAATGTTGCTTCATCCGTCCCCCACTTCTCCTCTCCAGCAGCATACAGGTCCTACACAGAGGTGAGAGAACGTGATGACATCAGAAAGAAGCGACCCGAAAAACAAGAACAGTGAAGTCTATTATAGATAACAGAACCAGACAAGAACCTTAGCTATAGATGTTATATGGCATTATCTCAGAGAGATCTATAAAGAAATAATTACAATATTTCAGAAACAAACATTTCTTTGACTACGTATATTTGTATTGCTCATAATTCAGCTGGTGTGCTCCACCAAGAAGAAGGAAATAAATGAAACATTTATTTTGTCTAATAGCAGAGGCTGCTATTAGACACAGCCTCATAGCACCGACTCCAAAAAACCCAAAACTTTTATGAATTAGCGTCAGAATCATAGAAAGCCTGATTTTGAGCTGCCTGTTATTTACTCTAGCGTCCGTCGAGCTCTAAAACTAATGCAAACATCATAAGATTCTACAGCTCAAATTCACTTTATGTTTGATAAAACATAAAGTGAATTTGAGCTATGCTCAACATGAAACTAAGTCAAAACCCAAGGAATCCAAAAAGTTAGTTTGGTGGAATCCAACCTTGTTTTTGTTTTGTTTTTTAAAGAGAAACCAACAAAATCACTAACCCCAAGATCACTAAGACTTCTTAAAAGGTAGAGTCTCTGAGAACAGTTCTTCAAAATATAGTCAGTGTTTTCAGCAAAGTTGAGCTGACTGTCCAGGAACAACCCAAATTTGCCACAGTTTCAACAGGTTGGCCATCGAGAGAAACTGGAACCACTTTAAGGTTTTGTTTAGATCATTTAATTAGCTCTACAGTCTTAAGAGAATGAAAAATTTATAATAAATAATAAAGACTTTGCTGCATTCTGATTTAGTAATCTAATTATATTAGTTGTGTTACCACCCCCACGCCACTAGAGGCAGTAGCAACCCCAAAAACATGCGACTAAGGAGCAGATTTAGAAGTACACCGAAAGCTGCAGAATTTGGTAAACGGTGAGCTTTGCTGAAGTAATTAAAGACACAAGTTCAAATCCATGCTGAGAGTGAAACTCCTTCAATCAGTGCTCCTCTGCAGCTCTGATTGGCTAAGCCATGTAACGTGATCCTCTGCAGCAAAGCGGGGCGTCATCACGACTTTACACACTGTGTCTTTACCTCCGCGGCAGAGGCTTCGCCGAACCCCTGAGACCGACCCATCGAA